CTAACTTACTTTATACGTAGCACTCGATTTTTTTCCCGATGAATATCTAGTTATCTCAAAATAAGGTTCCCAATGAGCTTTCGTGTTCAAATTATACAGTGTTGCGTCATATAATGTCTGTTTTTCGTAGTTTGACGTTTATTCAGCCCTCATGTTTGCATATACTGAAAGATATAGGATTGCTGCTAATGGTTTAAGTAATATATGGTTTGTGTGTTAAACAGTGACAAGCCATTAACGTGATTTTATTTTTTTCGCTGTCAAACTGCGTGCATACTTTCACGTGGATTTCACAAACTGCGTGCCTAATACTTACAAACTGCGCGCCTATATTTTCAAACTGCGCGCCTAATTTGCAAGCTTTGTGCAAGTTTGTTGTGTATTTTCAGAAAACGTTAACCCCTCTCACTAAACCTGTCCATATATAAAAAAAACCAAAGTCTGTCCCTAACAAAGATGTAGATAACAACAGCGCATCTTCAAAAACCATGAAACCAGAATTAAACAAGATGTTATTTTCACACGCACCAATGAAGAAAAGGAAACCAATCAAGAAACTAAAGGGGCGATTATTTAAAGGTACCAGTGACTCATTTGAAAAAACATGAAATTAAAAGACTGTGAAAACCTCTTGCCCGATGTCCTCTCAAACCTTAAAAGAAATAGTACATTGTGTCAACCCTTCCTCAATTTCCTTACCCTCATCTCAACAAATTCAATCCCCCTTGAAATTACCGATTTATCAGGCTCGTATAATATACATGTACTGCAGTCGGAACATTCAAGTATTACTTCCTTTGGCATATGCTATAGAATAGACTCGAAACGATTGTATCCCCAAAAATTCAAAGATTTAAGTGAAAAAGTTTTGAATTACTGAATTTTGCTCGTTATGCATGCGTGGTCACTTATTTATGGTAACGTGGGTAATAAACAAAGTTTCAAGTCGAAAGAGTGAGATTGTTGTAAATATCATATTCTTACTTATATGTTCCTAAAACTGTAAATTGATATAGTATTTTATAATGAGGAATTCATTGAATTCTAAGAAATGGCTTTTTGGACTGCATCAATCAAAAATCTAAATAAAAAAGGATTCAATATATATTGACACAATTTTTATGAACGTATTTATTTATGTTGCACCATGCATGAAATAGTGTTAGTTTGAAATAAAGTAATAAAATAGGCAAGTTCGGCACTTCAATTGGGACCAGGCGGGGGCCTCCTGTGTGTCTTTTAGAAGGACCCCAATAGAATAAAACCATTTTCATGAGATTTTTGAACTCAACTCTATATGATGAATCAAAACCCAAGTGTTTTCTATTTCTGTGAAACGTGCGATATCAACTTTTGTATCGGTAATCCAAAAATCGATGCCAATTTTTTGTATTAATCTGCTTATATTTTTAAACCAACGTTCATCTGGACATACATTTCGCTATCACATGGCTGAATCATATAATCGCCACCGAATGGACGTGTGAAACTAGAAAACAATTCAGAATAAATGTCTTAAAATGACGTTTGAAAACACAGACTCCAACTTGTATGCTGCAATGTTGATAGGCGCGCAGTTTGTCAGTCTTTCAAACTGCGTGCATAGTAGGCAAGCAGTTTGGCTACCGCTCCGTGATGTAGCTCCAATCCCCAATTCTCTGAACAATGTTTTCATTTTTTATATGTTTGAATCGGAATAAATAATGACAGGCCATTCAATATGGTGAAATTCAGCACTCGTTGGACAGAATGTCAGTACAAATGCACTCACCTTCGGTTCGTGCTTTGTACGACATTCTGTCCAACTCGTGCTGAATTTCACCATATTGAATGGCCTATCATTATTTATTCCTTAAATAAGATACAGGGTAAAATGTTATAATGGCCACCTATGGGAAACTCTACTCTGGTCTCCAACCATCCCTATTTATCAATACAATTCATTACAACACTGCGAACATCTCCTTCACACGAGCCTTCATTTTTTTAAAATGATCTCTTGTTAATTCTTATGTCATGGTTATGAATTGCTGTTCCTGGAACGAATAAATGTTTTGAGTTTTAATGGCATTTCCCCATAAAAGGTTACAATAGCTAAGTAGGAATAAATCATTTTCAGTTCATTATACATTTATTTCAATTATACATTGTATAGCAGTAAAATAAGTTACACAGGTCGCTACCTAGCGCAATTTGCATTACAGGCTAGCGTTTTTGAATGAACATAAATCAAATTAATTAAATTAATTGAGTGAGTTACACATACAAATGTGCTAACTGGTTGCCTACACTTAATGGTGAAAAGTAAATCAGAATAAAATGGGTTAGGTTAAGCTAAGAATGAAATCAACGAACCTTCCTTTTAATTGAGAATCCTGTTCAATTGAAAATGAATTTTTGAGAATCAAAAATTCAATTTTGTCTTGTCCACTGAGATGGGTCTCAAGGTTTTGCTGCTCAATGGTTTCTTCAAAGATTTTCCTTTGTGTTGAATGGCGCTTACATTGCAGAATCAAGTGTTTAGGGGTTGTACTCTTACCATAGACACATAGATTAGTTGTGTTAGGGAAATTATGAACAAAATTTTGTGATTTAAAATAGAGTCCGCATCCAATACTGTTTAAGGTAATTTCTTGTTTTCGAGAAAGGTTGAGTTTAGAAGTTGTATTGAAGTCATTAAACTGAAGATTTGTTTTTGATTTTACTTTTGAACATAGAGATGGTGGGAATAGACCTCTCTTCTGGAGATAACCTATTCCATTCAGAGATCAATCTTAGCACTGGTCCATTAATTAGTCGTGCACTTGATTTAACCGGTATTTGGAAGGGTCTATGGTTTCTGAGAACCCTTCTTTGCTCAGATTTATAATGGTGAAAACGTTCGACAACATAATCAGGTGCCATATTTTTACAAATTTTAAAATGATGATGAGATGAGGAATAAATCATGGAGTAGTAGATAGTGGTCATTGTATTTAAAGCCAGGCTATGTCTAGTCTTGTAGAGTAGTCCTATTAAGTTAGACATTTTGTACAGATAGGATTTATGTGAGATGACCAATTCAGCTTTTAATCAATTATGACTCCTAGAAAATTGATTTATTTAACTTCTATAGGTTGTTCATTAATTTTGAGAACAATGTTGTTTTTATTAGGATCCTTCTTTTTATTTAATATCACATATTTTGTTTTTTCTACATTAAGAGGTAATTTATTAGCTTTCATCCAGTTGGAAACAGTTTTTAATTCAGCATTCATATCTGAGACTAGGGTTTCAAAATTTGTATTGGTAAGTAGAATATTAGTATCAGCATATCATCAGCATATAAGACAAAGTTTAGTTTATTTGAAATTAAATGTATGTCATTTATAAATATTATAAACAAGAGGGGACCTATGACTGAACCTTGAGGGACACCATATTCAATTGTATTTTTACCGGATCTATATCTTATATCTGTAGTTGTAAATTGAACTTTCAAAACACCATTCTTAACAATTTCTGTGACCATAATTTATTTTCGAGATAACTTTTGAACCAGGAAAGAGCTAGCTGTTCCACGAATACCATAAAATTCAAGTTTTTGTAATAGTATTTTGTGATCGACTGTTTCCCATTTCAATTTTTTTCTCAAAATGTTGTCACTTTTACATATTTCATGTAACATCACTTGAATCTCAAATAAGTTTATATTTAAACTATTAATCATGTACCAGCAGCTGAAGGACCAGCACCAGTGGTTGAAGAACCTGCACCAGCAGCTGATGAACATGAACCAGCAGCTGAAGAACCAACACAGGCAGATGAAAAACTTGCATCAGCAACTGAAGAACAGGCACCAGCAGCTGAATAACCAGCACCAGCAGCTAATTAACCAACAGAGGCAGATGAAGAACAAGTACCAGCAGCTGAAGAATTAGCACTAGCAGTTGAAGAAACAGCACCAGCGGCTGAAGAACGAGCAGCATCAGCAGCTGACGAATCTGCACCAGCAACTGAAGAACCACGATCAGCAGCTGAAGCACCAGCAACTCAAGAACAAGCAGAACACCAGTACCAGTAACAGAAGAACCAGTCATGGCAGCTGAAGAACCTGTTCCACTAACTGAATTTCCAGCACCAGCAGCTGGAGAGCCTGCTGAAGAACCAGCACAATCAGCTGATGAACCAGCAACTCAAAAACCAGCACCAACAGATGAAGAACTAGTAGCTGAAAAACTAGCACCAGCAACTGGCGAACCAGCATCATCAGCTGAAGCATAACCTACGTAAGAACCAGCAGCTGAAGAACCAGCACCAGTAACTGCAGAGCCTGCTACAGTAACTGAGAAACCTGCTACAGAAACTGATGAAGAATCTGCTACTGCAACAGTAACAGAAGAACCTATTCCATTAACAGAAGAACCAGCACCGGCAGCTGAAAAACCTGCTGAAGAACCAGCACAATCAGCTGATGAACCAGCAGCTGAGGAACCTATACCAGCTGAGGATTAAAACGTCTCGAAGTCTTCTAATTGACAGTCTGGCATAGCCTCAAGCCATATAAGGAAAGAGATAGATGGAATGCAATATGGATAGAAATAAAGGGAATATAGTGCAGTATATAAGTCAAGAAATCAAAGTGCAACTTTAGAAAATCATAATTATTGACACAACAATTTTATTCGTTTACCTTTTAAATGTTTAAGAATATAATAAGCTACTCAACGTTTAGAAAAAAGGAATTGTGTATCTCTAGCCTTCAATTTAGGAATGAAATTTGGAGATGAGGATTTGGACGGGCATTGGAGCCACTATACTTCCCTGAAATCCAGACAGCAATGACTACAAAGAGAAATCCAACTTAGTTTGGCTGAAATCGAAAGTTTATCGAAAACGAAAGATTTTTGGCAGCCATCTTGAACGAAGCTTACTGCAGTTAGAGTAATCCAGCTGTGGAACAGTGATAATATCCTATGTGTTTTTATTTTTCAATTGAAATTTTTATAAGCTCTGGGAAGCCGCAGAGATAAACATCACTTCAACGATGTTGAATGTAAAAAAAATGTTGGGAGTTGTTATTCTAATAATGATATCAGGTGAGTTTAGCATAATTTTTATTTAATTAAATTCCCGAATCAGATGCAGATATTGAGGGTCTATTTTGACTAATTTATTGCATTTATGGTTCAAATCACTCTTCTGTGCACCAATCAAACCTAGAAACAATGATGTGAACAATGGAGCAATGGTGTGATATTACATGAAAAACATTCATATTTAGATTATTGGAAAATACATACATATGATATTTGTACGTGATATCTTGAATTTTCAAGATCATTTCGTAGACGCAAAACCAAAGACATACTCCGACTGTGTGAAGAATTGTAAAAAGGTCGCAGGAGCCAAGAAAAATAAATGCGATGGCTGGTGTAAGATTCCAAAGGTTTGTAAGCTTCACTACACGTACTTTGTAGAGATTGGAACAAAATCCTTTTTGTAGTATATCAGCGTTATGTTAAAAATCTAACTCAAGAGATTTTTTAAAAAATAGACTTGACAAGGAATGAGCTCAAAATACTAGAATTTAGTATTACTACGGCGACGACGTCGTCGCCATCGCCGTCACAACTGTTCCTCTTTGCTAAATGTGATACTATATTTAACCTTATGTTCAACTTCGATTTGAAAAAATCTCTATTTGCAACTAATGAAAATGTTTTATAAGCTTAGACGGGCGCTCGAGAAGGTAATTATATTGATAAACTACAAAATTATGCTACTATTTTAGTGTCTTTAAATATTGGTTTCTGACATAATGATTCCTTTTTGATTTTACTTGATGATAGTTTGCAAAAATTGCTCGAATAGCAATTGTGTTGATTGTGACATCACATTATATTTAAAATTCAAATTCAGGGAGAAAAGGTGGACGATGTCTGTTGGAAGAAATGTATAGCAGAATTAGGAGGTTCAGAATTTAGGGCATGTATGAAAAACTGCACAGGGAAACCAGGTGAGAATATTTGAATTCATAATTTCAACTTTAGACTATAAAGTATCGACGTTTCCATGTTTAAGGCTGAATAAGTGTACCGATCTGCTGATGTTGTCTGCATTTGTCATACCACTTAAAGGAGTGGTATCGATATGGTGAAATTTTTGAACACGCGTTTCTCTTAAACCAGTCTTTTGAATGGTAACAATATAATTTGAAATAAATATATATAGCGCGTATCAAAAAAAACGCAACAGATTGTTATCTCGGAAAAGCACAAAACCAGTGATAACAGCATTGATTTCATTCAATGCACCATAAAGCCATGTGTCTCCTTTTTACAATGATATATCATTCATTGAAATTTGGTCATGGTTGGGCGAGTAATCATTCCATTTGCAATGTGGGCCAAAATTAGCTTTGGGCCAAGTTATAAACATCGCAAAAGTCAGTGTTCGGAGCCCGATGCAATATTGGAAGAAAACATAAAACCAATGCTGATTGCATCCTTTTCATTCAATGTACCAAAAGACCATATTAGTCCTCTTTGCAATGGAATATCATTCATTCACAGGGAGTCATCTCTGGCCGAATAATCATTAACTTTGCAAAATGGGGCAAAATTCAGCTCGTACACAAGTTTTAAACATTGCAAAAGTCAGTACAAGGGGCATAGGGGCCATTGGGAGAAGGTGTGACAGGTGGGGCACAGACAGTAAAGTGTTCATACTCATACTCTTGCAAGAATACATCCTATACCCCTCCAAATTGCCGCCACTTCCTTGCACATGAAGATGCGCTCATCTGTACACGTCATGCATGGTTCAGCCCTGAGTCATCTCTGGGTTAAAGCAGAGAAGAAAAGCAGCCCATGATGGGCAATTCTTACTCTAGGTTTTGCATTATCTGGTGGAGGAATTGTGAGCACAGATGCTCCTGATCATACGTTCAGAATGAAATGAAACATCTTTCCGAACCTCATTGAAACAAAACGACATAAACACACCGTGTTTAGGTTTCTCAATATTGTAATTGTACAAAGGAAAGTTTGGTTGATTTAAAAAAAGTATATTGTTAATGGAATAAAACCTTCATCTTTATTTTATTTTGTGGGTTTTTGTTTACTTTTTGTTAAATCAACCAAAATTTCCTTTGTATAACTATACTTGTGAGAAGTCTAAGAAAATGCTGAATATGCTATTTTGTTCAACAAGCTAGTGTCGGAAAGATATTTTATTTTATTCTCAAGAATTGGTAAAAAGGAACAAAAAACAATTGCACTAAAAACAAAAATGTTAACAAAAACAGTTATAAAAAATATATATAAATAATGTTCGCATGAAATTGATGTCAATCAGTCAACATTTCATAAAGGACCATGTTTTTTACAGAATGTTTTCAATAATTGGTTTAAGAGAAAACTATTGTTGAATTCACTTCACCATATTGACACCAATCCTTTGAGATTGAATATCGAGAAATCGATCATTCATTGAACACAAAACAAAATCAGTAGATTTGAAGGAAATTGGATTGGCGAAACGGCGTCTTCATACTTCATTCGTAATAGCCCTTGGTATACGCAACCATCGTTAATGGACGGGGCTTGGGGGTGGATGCCACGTGACAGGGCCGGTGCCAATGTTTGTTGTTGAATTTAAATTACCCCTATTTCGCTTCTCTCAGTATTTTATCAATTCTAGACGAAGTTAAACACTTAATATACTCTCAACAAGGACTTCATTTTTGCGATACTTTATGAGCTTGTGCAAAATGCTTTCGGGGTACCCCTGTAGAATGATTTCATTAAAATAGCACATATTCAAATGTTTAGACTTTAACTAAAAACCGCTAGATAAGTCTGTGTTTAGGTATCATGGTTTGAGACGTAAATGCTTCGTGGGTAATTCGACATATTCTTTACATAGCTCTCCTGTTATGAGTTTGGACAACTTTTTGAAGCTATGATAAAATGTGTGGACAAAGCCCAGAACAATTGTATCGTTTTGGTTCCTCGCTAATGAAAATAACATTTTTGTATAATCCTTACCTACTAAGCAAGTAAATGCGATATAACCACAACCAAATTAGACAATTGCTGAGAAACAGTGGACAGATCGGGGCAAGTGTACGGAGTGTGGCAAATAACTTATATCAAGATATTCGTTTGACATTTCAGTGAATTCCAGTGGAAACAGTGAACAGATTGGGGCAAGTGTACTGAGTGTGGCAAATAACTTATATTGAGATATATGTTTGACATTTCAGTGAATTGCCAGTGGAAACAGTAGACAGATTGGGGCAAGTGTTCGGAGTGTGGCAAATGTCTTATATTAAGATATATGTTTGACATTTCAGTGAATTGCCAGTGGAAACAGTGAACAGATTTGGGCAAGTGTACGGAGTGTGACATACAACTTACATTAAGATATATGTTTGACATTTCAGTGGATTGCCAGTGGAAACAGTGGACAGATTGGGGCAAGTGTACGGAGTGTGGCAAATAACTTATATTAAGATATATGTTTGACATTTCAGTGAATTGCCTGTGGAAACAGTGAACAGATTGAGGCAAGTGTACGGAGTGTGGCAAATAACTTATATTAAGATATATGTTTGACATTTCAGTGAATTGCCTATGGAAACAGTGGACCGACTGGGGCAAGTGTACGGAGTGTGGCAAATAACTTATATTAAGATATATGTTTGACATATCAGTGAATTGCCAGTGGAAACCATGGACCGACCGGGGCAAGTGTACGGAGTGTGGCAAATAACTTATATTAAGATATATGTTTGACATTTCAGTGAATTGCCAGTGGAAACAGTGGACAGATTGGGGCAAGTGAGTGTACGGAGTGTGGCAAATGTCTTATATTAAGATATATGTTTGACATTTCAGTGAATTGCCAGTGGAAACAGTGAACAGAATGGGGCAAGTGTACGGAGTATGACATATAACTTATATTGAGATATACGTTTGACATTTCAGTGAATTGCCAGTGGAAACAGTGAACAGATTGGGACAAGTGTACGGAGTGTGGCAAATAACTTATATTAAGATATATGTTCGACATTTCAGTGAATTGCCAGTGGAAACAGCAAACAGATTGGGGCAAGTGTTCGGAGTGTGACATATAACTTATATTAAGATATATGTTTGACACTTCAGTGGATTGCCAGTGGAAACAGTGGACAGATTGGGGCAAGTGTATGGAGTGTGGCAAATAACTTATATTAAGATATATGTTTGACATTTCAGTGAATTGCCTGTGGAAACAGTGAACAGATTGGGGCAAGTGTACGGAGTGTGGCAAATAACTTATTTTAAGATATATGTTTGACATTTCAGTGAATTGCCAGTGGAAACAGTGAACAGGTTGGGGCAAGTGTACGGAGTGTGACATATAACTTATATTGAGATATACGTTTGACATTTCAGTTAATTGCCAGTGGAAACAGTGAACAAAATGGGGCAAGTGTACGGAGTGTGACATATAACTTATATTAAGATATATGTTTGACATATCAGTGAATTGCCAGTGGAAACCATGGACCGACCGGGGCAAGTGTACGGAGTGTGGCAAATAACTTATATTAAGATATATGTTTGACATTTCAGTGAATTGCCAGTGGAAACAGTGGACAGATTGGGGCAAGTGTACGGAGTGTGGCAAATGTCTTATATTAAGATATATGTTTGACATTTCAGTGAATTGCCAGTGGAAACAGTGGACAGATTGGGACAAGTGTACGGAGTGTGGCAAATAACTTATATTAAGATAAATGTTTGACATTTCAGTGAATTGCCTATGGAAACAGTGGACCGACTGGGGCAAGTGTACGGAGTGTGGCAAATGCTGTCAGAAACATTGCACTAGGGCAAGAGGAAAAATACCATCACAAGGTGGAGGAAAGCCATGTAAGGGATCTAGCATAGAAACCCAGATGTTTAAATGCAGCAAGATTGAATGCTCACGTATGTATTTCAAGGGACGTTCCCTACTTACATTAATCCAAAATAAATGGTAGATTAGTATGTGGGCAACACGATAATTGCTATTATCAAATATAGTCAAATTCTGTTATTCTACTAAAGCCTGATATGTTTGATATGTAAATATCAACGACATTTGATGTGTGATATTTTTATGTCAAAACAATTGGTTATAATGACTATGTGTTATATAATGAAAATATCGCTTATTGATATAAACAGCTTGAGTGATGATTTTTTAGACAAAAATCAAAGTTTGCTAATATGAACTCAGACAACATAACAAATAATGTATCATGAGCTTCGATAACTTCCCACTTGTTAAATATTAAAGGATGTTTGCAACCAGCCCTCGGGAATTGTTTGATTTTTCATACTTATAAAAAGAATACGTTTTATAATGTCCATATGATTTGTACCTTTTCATGTCCAATATATTCGGTATACTAAGGAATTAAATGTATAACAGTCATTTAGATACTACATTGGATGAGTTCCATTTCTTAAAATAATCATTTGAAATCGTATTGGTGCTTAGCCGAACTCTTAATGTTTGGAGGATATAAAATATTAGACAGCAAAACCTAAATTCATCACAAAAATGACAATATGTACATGTAGTGTGATGTTTTCGTTGTCTGTCATTTAAAAGCTAACCCCCTATAAGGGCACTTTCTGGCGAAGCAAAGCTTTCGACAAATTATGCATCAACAACTTATCAACAACGTTAATTCAACCAGTGTGTGAAAGGATACAAGTCATATGGACATAATAAAACGTATTCTGCTTTATGAGTGTGAAATATTTAACAATTCCATCTTTGCAGATGGTCGCAAATATACTTGATTAACAAGTTAGAAATTATCGAAGCACATGATACATTATTTGTTATGATATCTTATGGTCTCCCTGTATTTCTAATATTCCAGAGCCCCATACCAAACCAGGTACATGTAGTGGATGGGGAGATCCACATTACACAACTTTCGATGGCTTACGTTATGACTTCCAGGGCGATTGCAAATACAGTCTCGTAAGGGCCCTCGATGGGGCATTCAAGGTACATTGTATGTACGATAACATCACACTTGTGACACTTATCAGTCCCATCCTAAAGGGTACAATGTATATGGCCTTTTTATGATATATTTTGTTTGAGTAGGATGGCTTATTTTGCAAAAGGCAAAGGTCCTTGGCTTTTGCACAGAAAAATGAACTCTTGTGTTTTCATGTATCTTCAAGTAGGAACTACGTTTTTATTTTAGATTGAAGTGAAGAATGTTCGCACATCACCCACCAGCTCTGTGTCATTCACAAAGTATGCAGATGTTTACATAGGCAATGACGTCATACGCCTTGGACCAGGGACGAATGTTAAGGTGCTTGGTGACAATAGATTATTTTATGACATTTAGGTACCTGACACATTTAGGTGTCTTTTAGGTACCTGATTTTATCTGAAACAATGCAAAGCTAAATTATCATAAACACCTGGCTTTCATGTTTTTTGAAACCCTAGAAAGGCAGTTCAAATTACTTAAGCCCGGGATTCAATGAATAGTAGACAGTTTCAACACGGGTTGTCTTGTCTGACTGGTATAGAAAAATGCGGCAGTCACGAATTCAAATTCTAGGATACAATCCTAGACATTGAATCTACAGGGTGACCCCAAAAGTGCAACCCTCCATTTCTTCAATATTTTCTTAAATGGTGATAAATTGCTCTGAGATTTGGCACACAAGGACTTCATTCAATGTGGGATCCTCTGGCAAAGTTTTAATAATCATAGACTTATATTGCTAGAGTTATGGTTGTTTCAAAATATGCTCCAGATGTCGTCAATTTCGCTGAAAACAAACTTGCAATGTTCAAAGAAAACTGTTCATAACACGGATGCATTCTTCCCCATGGGCATGGCTCAAATTTTTGCAGCCATTACTTATTGGAGTTCTGCAATTGCGGTAGGGTTATTTTCATACACACTATCCTTTAAATAACCCCATATATAGAAGTCAGGGGCATTGAGATCAAGACTGTGGGATGACTAGGGTTCTCCGTCCTAGGAGAGATCATCTCATCTCATAGAAATGACTAGTGAGCCAGGCTATGCTATCATCAGAAGTGTGAGGAGAATCTCCATCCCTCTAGAAACACTGTTCTTGTCTATTGAAGCCTCTATACCACTCTAGAACTGCCTAGAACTTCTTGGGAACGCAAATATTGTGCTATGTGTTAACAGTAACAGTGTTGGCATTATCAACCTCAAACCAAAAGGGGCTGATGATTTCATGTTTGGAAATTGGCAGCCAAAGCTGTGCATTTAACAGAATGAAGGGGCATTTGAAGCACTTCATCTGGAATTAGTGATCCCAGAACACATTATTTCTTGAGTTTACATGTTCAGAAAGAAGGGAATGTGATTCATCTGAAAACCTGACATTGGAAATGGACGACATTTGGAGCATATTTTGGAACGACCATAGCTCTATCAATATAAGACCATGGTTATTGAAACTTTGCCAGAGGATCCCACATTGAATGAAGTCCTTGTGTGCCGAATTTCAGAGCAATTAACCTCCATTTAAGAAAAATATTGAAGAAATGGAGGGTTGCATTTTTTGGGGTCACCCTGTACAATCCACAATTTATTACATCATGTGCTTAAATACTTTCCGCGTACTGCAAAGTATTTTGTACTACTTAAACTTAAAATAATCAAAATACTTAAAAGAAAAGTTTTGCAAGGAAACCTTTTTGCAAGAGTTTTGTAAAATTGACCATTTGACTTGAATGAGCACCCGACTTGCTATTACATACGCTACTTTTAATAGGTTTTCATTCATTTAACTGTCAACATGATCTTACGATTTTCATGAGGGTAATCCTTTCAGTGAATCAAAATGAGGCACGAATTTGGTTGTTATTTTTAGGATGCAGGTTATTTTAAATATTGTGTTCTGATTGGCTGGATATGTATGCGCAAGTGCCAATAGGAAAGTACAAAAATGGTTACAGAACACAGCAAATAAAGAAAAAAATATGCACCAGTCATAAGAACAAACCACAACTATCCCAAATCATAATCCAATGTGTCTATAGCCCCTTCCCCGTACAAGTACCAATATTAAAATCTGAGACCATAACCCCAAGGAACATTTCATTCATACTGAAGTCATTACAATGCATGTAAAAAATAATAGTCAATACTTATACAATACATAAGAATAGTTGTCTTTATACAAGACAGAACATTCAGTCTCAAATTCTGTGGTATGTGATACCTCATGCCAAGCTTATACGAATTCTTGTTTAAAATATCTCTGGTTCACGATTTCATGCGTTTTTAAGTTTATACTTTCTTACTTGTATATTATTATCATTATGTATGATTGTTTACAGGTCAACACGAAACCCGTGACTACATTTCCTAATAATACTGCATTTTCAAGTACTCAATCGACGTCAGTGGGGCAGACGTACTTTTCAACTGTCCAGTGATGTCACTGAATATAGTATTCCGCTATGGTATCAGCGTTTCACTTGGTCGACAGTGGAAGGAAATGGTATATTTCAAGTATTTAGATTTCTCCTCGAGGAAATGTTAAAATATAAATAGTTATAGAGAAGATGAAATTATTTTCCCTATGCATGTTTTTCATCAAAAACCATGTAGTTTAGGCGCTTTGGTACATGTATCACATTTTATTACATTTGCTTTTATCTTTCATATTAGAATTGTGTGTTTTGATTGACAATACACTGTTCCCAGTTACATCAGACGAAATATTTACGACATTTAGAAAGAATATGTCATGATTAAAGTGTGAATATCGATTGCCGAGTCGTATCCAATGATCCTGGGCCTATCGTAAAATGAAAGCTTTGAATATGTTGTTGCCTTTAAAAATGTATCTATTTTCCATGTATGCAACTAGAATTTGTGCACATACCTTATAACGATCGATAATGGCAAAGGAAAATCCTCTAATTCTGCGTCATATTTTCTCCTTCGACATCCGCCATTTTTTATTAAACCGGAAATTTGTTCTCTGACGTCCGCGCAATGTTTTTTCACTTTTATTTCAGATTACGCTTCCGATTCAACTTTTAATGCTTTCTAATAATCGTTAAGTGTTTTCTATAAGAAAGATTTCATAAAAAGACTCACACTATCAGAGATTTTATCGATTCGAGCAGCCAGAAAAATTAGTTTCAATTTCGCCAGCTAGGTGTTTCGACGTCGACTTGGAAAGAATTTGAAAAATCTATGAGTGGGACTCCTTGTATGGAATTGTAGATTCTAAACGATTTGCCAGTTCTACTGGTTGATGAATATTGCCATATGCATACATTTTTTATAAAATAGGAATAAGGAAGAAGATGTTGGACCAAACTTCACCCCGATAGCTCAGAAAAGGTAAAATTTCTCCATTTTTCTCTCCACAGACCTTAGAGCCGCTTTAAAGAACTAGGATGATCAACTTGAGACATCTATTAATGGATATGTAATTAATACTATTCTACCCAATGCATTGAGAGAGCAATTTTATATCATGATTATTAACCCTAGGGTTTGCAAGGGAGGGGGTCCGACCATCGCGATTATTTCAGCAGTATTTTTTGCAATATTTTGTGTCTACGTTATTTTTTAGCTTGAGTCAAACATTAGACGCGTTTTGGCGTAAATACAACTTGAAGGTGATTTTGGGTTAGAGGGGCAAAGTTATGTTAGTTGGAACTTGATGCCAATAAAATTGAATTTGTAAAAATAAAGTAATGCAATACTTTTCTGAAGAGTTAATTGAATAAGGTTTCCAACAATACAAAAATTATTGAAATCAGACAAGTAATAAAATCACAGACTTAATGTTTTGAAAAAAAAGATTTCAGACATCGGCATTAACCCTTCGATCCATTCATGGTATGCTCAAAAGTTGTCACATATTCGTGCAGGTTGACGGATTGTGCAAAAACTTTGATGGTAACAAGCCTAACGATAGCTCGGATTCCTCTGGAACTGATCTTACTGGGCAACCAAATAAGGGCACGTTGCTGGGAGATAGTTACCAAGTACTTGATGCCGAGGATCCAAGGTAAGAAAAATATGTTGTTGAACACTTATTTATAAGCAGACATAGTTGAGCAAAGATTACCCGTTTTAAACTAAATCATATGCATATTCTAAAATGGGTATTTGTATGACCGAGGTGCCAACATTAAAACCTGAATTTAGTGAACCACCCTCTAAAAGTCGGTCATATGACTGTCAAAAGTGTTCAATTTACAATGGTGTGTCATTTAGATAGTGTCCATTTGACAGATGTCACTGTCAATGAATATATCATTGATTTAAGGTTGTGATAACTCAATGGGTCACGGGAATGTGAAAAGTGTTCCAATTATAGAGGTGTTCCATTTTGCAGGTTTTACTGTACGTAAATAAGCACTTGATTTCAGGTGTGTCAGCAGCCTAAACGACGATCTTCCAAATCCTTGTAAGAACGATGGGGAAATGGAGGAAGCTAAAGTTGTATGTGAAGAGGTAGTCAATCCATATGGTATTTTTGCAGAATGCGTTGGAAGGTAAGTGACATTGATTGCCAGATGGTGTTCAAATCATATAGGGACTAAGTCGAAAGTAGTGGGCTGACTGTATATACACCGAGTGGCCAATAGAGTCTCTTTAATAGGTTCAATCTGATTTCAATGTAAAGTGAAAACAACTAAATGGACACATTATATTAAGAAAAACACCTCCGTTGAAATATTTTTGTAGACAAAAAATAGTTAAGCCACGTAAAATACTTGTTACTTGATCGTTAAAACATGTAGTATTATGTCGAAATCGTGATTTATTCCATTCCCTTTTCACACAAAGGACGCAAAAATCGTTTCTTCACTTTTCAGTATGTTTTGTGTTGACACTTGGTCTTGTTTTTTTGTAATTGCAGAATTCCAGGCGCATGTGTCCAGAATTTCGTTAAGGACTGTATGGTTGATCACTGTGATAATCCTGAGAACATATGTGATATTGTGTCTAAGTTTGCCGAGGCATGTAAGCAAGAGGGGGTTGATGTTCCTATGTGGAGGAAAGCGTTTGATTGTCGTAAGTTGTATACTTAATATACTACATAGATGTAGTTAAGACTTTCAACGAATTATTAATCATTCATCACCGCTGACACCGTGTATGTATCATATTTGACTAGGAATAGTTCCAATCTTCTGTTAATTATATAGAGCGATCCTTATATAGCATTTTTCATGTTGATTCACCGTATTGTGCTGCCATCTTTCAATGGGTTTCTTATAGGTTTTGTAGGGTAAGGGATTGCCTTTCATTTCCTATAACTTGGGGGTATTTAAGAGAAATTTTGGGCTTCATTCAGTAGAGAGTTAGATCGGGGGGAACATCACACATCATTTCTTTTCATCTTATTAATCTCATTTTCATTCTTTCTTTATCTTTGAACAGTTTTATTTTACACTGAAGAGTGTAATTGTACATGTTTAGTCTTTTACTTGGAATAAAGTATAGTTTTATGAGTATATTAATTCTGTGTTAATCTTGTCTTTTTTACATTACAAGACCAATCCATATTATTTTATGAAGAACCCACAGAGCTATTTAAACAACAAAGCTCGAAGCTTCATTGGTGGCAGCGGTGGGATTGGTCTTTGTCTTGTAAAGAGATTCTTTTTCGCAGTTTTAGTGTCTTTATTTTCATTAAAGAGTGGAGATTAGTTCTCTTCACATCTGTAAATTTGATTAACTTTTACTGAAGAGTGGAGATTAGTTCTCTTCGCATCTTCAAGTTAGCTTTACTCTTACAAAAGAGCGGAGATTAGTTCTCTTCGTTTCTTTCTTTTAAGTTAGGTTCATTCTATACTGAAGAGTGAAGATTAGTTCTCTTCAACTCTTTCTTTAGGATTTTGTCTTCATATTCAGTTTACTTTGAATGAAGAGTATTTGTCTTCACTGTACTATTAAGTAGTAACTTTGTCTTTATGCACAATGTTTGTTTATGCATGCATTTAAGTTGACGGTCTTCACTTAAACGACTGATAATGATCTTGCGTTTGTGTACGCTCAGTTAATTTATGCGTAACTTTACCTTGATCTTGTGAACAAAAAGAAGACAAAGAGTCAAGAATATTTGATGTTTACACGTGCTATTGTTAAGGGAATCATCATTTAGTAATGAAGACGGGCTCCCGTTGTAGTTACTTTTAAAATTGAAATACGAAAACGCTTGCATTTCAGCGTTGTACTAATTTCTGTATTTGCTATCAACAAGAAGCTCATGTAACAGGCTCCTGTTTTAGTTACTTCAAAAACACTTTCTTTTACTTTCTTTCTATCCTTTATTTCTACAATTGTGCATGCTAAGACGCATTGCTTTAAAATTGGCAAAATCGAGCGCGTATCTATTTGTTTGGCTGTGGCTATAGTGTTTGGATTGTCCCGAATTGGTGTTAGACGAAATTATGAATTGAGAATATTTGATTTGAATGTTCGAGATCTAGTTTTTTTGGTCTTTGTATTTTGTAAAAATCCCTGTATTGAGGATAAAAGCATACTTGATTCTGTTTGTGTTTTGATATTACGTATAGATTATAGCTCATTCATTAAATAGAAGTTGATACCTTGTGAATATGGAGGGGAAAGATCAAGCGGAAGATCAAGGTGAAAATGGGGATTTACACAGTTTAGGTGCCGTCGGGGGAACTGATAACGGTGACAAAAATGTTCAAGAAAAGTATGACGATGGGGAGGTCGCGTATAACAAACGGGAAGATGTAAATAGCAAATTGCAAACTTTTCAGAGTGACCCCGGGATTAAACAGACTGCATCGGGAAATACATTTGAAACTTCAGGGTATGATTCTAAGAGTTTCAGCACAATGAGACCTAGTAAATCACCTACTGACAGGCCTCCGCCTCCTGGGTTTAGCGCTCGTGAAAGCTTTGAAATCTCAGATCCCAAATTGACTCATTTTAACGATGTAGTTAATGATACGATGAGGTTAAATAGTCAAGGTGTTTCAAATGACAAAATGCAAAAGCCTAGAAATGTAGCTAAGCAAAAACTTGACGATGTACGGATCAAACTGTTTGCCGAGACGCATGATTTAACTCCAATTGTAACATATGTTGATTCATCAGGAAATTTTGTAGATATTGAAACTTTGTCAGGGCCAAAAAAAATTAAGAGTCAACAACCTGTCCTTGAAAGTACACATTATTCTCAAGAAAAAAATGAAAGTTTTGCAAACAAACCAATGAAACCTGACAAGAAGACAATGAATTTAATAGATTTCAACGATAATGAAGACAATGATATTCTGGGTAATTTGAATGATTCAAGTGTCCTAAATAAAGAAAGTAGCGTTAGGAAGTTAAGCAAACCAGCAATGGCTCCAGATAGATACTCAGGTGAAACTCCATGGGTTGATTATAAAGCGCATTTTGAATGTTGCGCGGAAATAAATGGATGGGGTTCAAAAGTTAAAGCAAGTTTCCTCGCCGCCAGTTTACGCGGTCCAGCGCAACAAGTTGTTGGCGATATGCCTGAAGAAAAGCGATGTCAATATGATGAGCTAATAGCACGTCTAAGTAGAAGATTTGGTACAGAGGGACAGGGGGCTCGTTTTGAAGCTGAATTAAAACGGAGACGAAGAAAGCAAAATGAATCATTGGCTGAATTAGGTCATAATATCAGGCGCTTAACTAATTTAGCATACCCAGAATTGCCAGATGAAAAATCAAGAGAACGATTTGCAATTAATCATTTCATTGACGCTTTAAATGATCATAACCTGAAGCTTTCAGTGTTTCAAGCAAAGTGTAAAAACTTAGATGAAGCTATACGCGTTGCTATAGAGACAGAGTCATTTGTAGAAAACACAAATTCGCGCGTTAGGTTTAGCAATGAAAATCGGCGATTTGTAAGGTCAATGTCAGGGCAAGAAACTGAAGACTCTTTAGATGAGGTTAGGGCATTGAAAGAGGAAGTAGAAAAATTGACAAAAAGAGTAAACGCCGATCAAAAGACCAATTATGAAAAAAAAGAAAATGTTAGAACTCCTGATCAACAAAGACATTTAAACTTCGTGCAAAGGGGGGCTCCCGGGACTAATAAAAACTCTCAATTGAAGTGCTTTAATTGTCAAGGTTACGGGCATCGTTTTATGGCTTGTCCAAGTCCAAAGAATGCAAACAGAGGCCAAAATGACAGTTTTTATCAAAAATTTGAAGGATCTAGATATGGTAAAGCAAATAACGGATCGGGAAACTTCAACCGGCAGGGCCCAAGGAGCACTGCCCGGCCGGAAACATAAGCTCCAAAGAAATGAGAACTCGAATTGAAAGAGCGAAGCAGGGAATGTATGTTAAGGGTAGATTGAACAATACGGTAGACGTAGCTTTTCTTTTAGATACAGGGGCAACGGTTACCGTAATTTCTTTAGACAAATATTCCGAAATACCGTTCAGTAGAAAAGGGAGATTACGACCCGTTTCAAGAAGAGTTTCAGGTGCTGACGGTCAGCCATTTAAATGTGGAATAGAAGGTGAATGTGATCTTAATATTCAAGTAGGGGATTGTGAAGTAGAGACATTAGTGATAGTAGCTGATATACCAACACCAGGGCTGTTAGGCATGGACTTTATTACTAAGTTCGGTGTATCAATTGATTTCAAAACGTTTGAGTTTGTTATGTCAAGACCAACTGAAATAAGTCACAAGTCGTCTGTCAAATGTTTAGATGCTGATTGCAACGATATTTGTGCAACAGTAATTTCAAAAGATACAATGTATATACCAGCAGGGCATGAAGCTATTTTGCAAGGACATATCTTAGAACAAGCTGAAAGTTGTGATAAGGGAATAAAAGTTGTAGAGCCCTTAAAAAATGGTTCTCTAAACAAGCAAAACGTATGTGTAGCTAGGGTGTTAGTAGATAGTAGTTATCCATTAGTTCCAGTAAGAGTGTATAACCCCGGGGAAAAGAGCGTTACTGTGCACGAAAATACAAGAATCGCAGTTTTATCGCCAATAAGTGACGTATTGGATACAAGTAGCATTGAGGGTGAAGTCATAAATAATGTAAATAATGTGAAGAAAAATGAAAAAGATCGCCCAAATAAAATGCCCGAACATTTGCAAGACCTTTGGCAACGTTCTCAAGAGAATTTGAGTGAAAATGATCACGAATCAGTAAAAGAATTGTTGATTAAATATCAATCAGTTTTTTGTAAAGATGATTACGATCTGGGTAGAACTAATCAGGTGGAACATAAAATTGATACAGAAAATGCTAGGCCTATCAAACAAAAACCAAGGCGTTTTCCTATGTGGAAGCAGCAAGAGGCTCAGAAACAAATAGATAAAATGCTTGAAAAGGGGTTAATCAAACATAGCCAAAGCCCATGGGCTAGCCCTGTCGTTTTAGTGAAAAAAGCGGGCTCAGTAAATAAATGGAGGTTGTGTATTGATTACCGCAAACTAAACTCTGTCACGGTGAAAGACTGTTACCCGATTCCCCGCATAGATACTGTGTTAAATCAAATGGGAAAAAGCAAATTTTATTGTTCCATGGATTTAGCCGCTTCTTACCATCAAATCCCTATGGAAGAGTCTTCAAAACAGAAAACAGCATTCATAACTGAGGGTGGTTTTTATGAGTACGAAGTAATGAGCTTCGGCTTATGCAATGCTGGGAGTACTATGGAAAGATTGATAGAAAATGTTTTAAGGGGACTATCTCCTGAAATTTGCCTTCTTTACATCGACGATATAGTCTGCTGGGGGTCTAGTTTTGAGGAAATGAATGAACGATTAGGGACCATTTTTGAGAAACTAAATGGGGCGAATCTGAAAATTAGACCTGATAAGACATTCTTGTACCAGAAAACAGTGAAATTTTTGGGTTTCATGATTGGTGAAGAGGGTGTGTCAATGGACCCTGACAAAGTAGATGCAATATTGAAGTATCCTAGACCAAGGTGTGTGCGCGACGCAAGAGCGTTCATTGGAACAGCTTCTTACTATAGAAAGTTCATCAAAGATTTCTCGCTGATAGTTCGACCTATAATAAAACTGA